TGCAGTAGGAAATGCCACTAAAGATTTTGTCTATGCTATTTGTCCAGTATTCAGGTTATCTAACTCTGTCTTCATGTGTAACCCTGCCACAGGCCTCAATTAGCTGACCTATGCAATTTTTGAGGGTTTATATTATTATTTTCAAACCCGGGAAGATTATGATGATGGATGAAGCATCATTATTTTTCAATTAGGATCCATTTCGATACCTCATCTTATCAAAGGTCTCTGATTTAGTTGAGTATTTTCTTTCTTTATTATCTCTCACTTCCGCCATTTTTCTATCAAGGAGGCCTACATCATAGCCATGATTCCTCTCTTATTTAACTCTTCTTTGTCTTATTTTTATCACTCATAAACTTAAAATTTCTTTAAATTTTTCAATTTAAGTATCTTATAATTCTATAAAATTAATGATTTAATAAATGTTTGGTGAATATTATGCATAGAAATATTTTAATTACCTGGAAAATTACTTATCTAAAATTCAGGGTATGGCATCATAAATGACTAAGATATAAAAACAATCTTTAATTCATACTACTGAAACACAGAACGATGCTTACTGCCAAACTCAAACATTTTATTAATGGTCAAACTGGTTTTAGGATAGACGTTTTACTTTAGACTGTCAAGTGATGCGTATCCTCAGCGCTCGCTTCTCGAACACTTGTAGGACACGGCACCATCACCTGAAAATACGAAAGTGTCACAAAACCTGACCGCTGCAGAAGATTAGAATACGATTTATGAAGCACATATACAGAGGAAAGAAAATTTCAAACATACACAAAGGAAAAACAAACAAACAAACAAAAAACAAACAAGCAAGAGAATTAGGAATGCACGGGTGTACTTGAGAATTAGGAAAAGTTTTCCTGAACTTCTCTCTTCTGGCTTGAGAGGAGAGAAGCTAGAAAGGCAATCCCAGGCGTGGACAGTGGGGGCACAGGCTATGGAAGTTCCTGGTTTAGAATGTGCATTTGCCTTTAGAAGACACGTTAGACTAGGAAATAGTGGTAGGCAAAGTCAGAAAGAAAGGTAGAAACAGTTAAAGAAGGAGCTCACGTTTCAGGATAAGTTGCTTCAATTCCTTTTACATTATTACATTATTTTTGCCAGATGATACATGTGCTCACTGAAGAAGAGGAGGAGGTAGAAGAGAAAAAAAAAGGAGACGAGGAGGAGAAAAGGAGGAGATGAAGAAACAGAGAGAGAGAGAGTGAGAGAGAGAGAGAGAGAAAACCACCCCCTAATAAGGCCTGGTCACACTGCAATCTTTTTTCCTCCATTTTTCCATCCTGTCAGGATTTCAGGCACACACATACATATGCCTGCCATAGTTTTCAAGCCACAGTGGTTGATTTTGAACTTGGTTCTGCCATATGGGCTACAGCTCCCTGTGCACAGAACTTAACCACTATACTACTGGGGCAGCCTCTTAATTTTAAATCAATTTCTGTTCCAAAGACAGCAGGATGCCACTAAGGGTTTAGAAAGAAGGAAAGTAAATATACACATTGCAGCAGTCCACGAAAAGTCTTGTTCCGGGTGCAAATAAAAGTCGTCATTCATACTACTATAATTTTAAGAAGCGATACAAAAAATAAATGGAGAAATTAATTTAACAATGAGAATTCTAATGAAGATTGCAGTTCCTTCGTAAGTTAAGTGGAAAAATAATCATAACATATAGCCTTTAATGAAAGTGAGAAAGAAAGCAATTAAAAACACTGAAGTCTGTTTTCTTCAATCAAATAAAAATTGCAGTTGGTGGACTTGGATCTATTTCCTGGACTTCGTTTTCTATGCACAGTGCTTTATAACTAGTCAATAGCATTGTAGATCAATGAAGAAAATGAATAGTGCACATTACGCTTTTTAACACAATATCATCTAGTGATTTATTGTCTTTGGATTAAATTAATGTTGCCCCTTCATTGAAAATGAACTTTCAAAAGTGAAGTTTCAGAAAAATCTAAAAGGTATGAGTATAATCCATTATCCCCTAAATTCATTGATGTAGTGGCAGAAGTTCTTTTTCCTATTATTATCACTGCTCAAACTGTGAGTGCAGTAAAGCACATTTCTTAAGCTGTGTTTTTATATACTACTTGTCATGGTAGACTTTCATTTCATGGTAATTTATCATTGTTCTAGTTCTACTCACATTTAATTATTTCAATGCCACAAATGCACATCACTGCAACGATGTGAGCAAAAGGGTTTTGTTTGAAGCAGTCAAGCCAATATTTTAGCTTAAAACTAAGAAAAGAGTATCCAAAAGGCAGAAAAATCTCTTAAAATACGTGTTTTACCTATAAACTCTGTAACACACATATTTTACTTAGAAGTTTTGAAGGTCTAGCAATTATTTCAAATTATAAATATTTATCATGGATGGAAAAACATGTTCATAGATGCGAAAGTTTACAATGTATTTTTTTCTTAAGATTTTTGTCATAGGGCACAGGCACTTGCCAGAGAGAGACAGAGACAGAGAGAAAGTGAGAAATCCCCCCTTCCCCCAGAGGATAGCCATGCCACAATCCCTTCTTCTCTGTGGCGCCATGAGATTTAGGGCACATGTACATACACATGTACCTGGCATGATTCTTAAGCTGCTATGTTTGAACCATGATCAGCCATGAAGACCAGAACCTCAGCCACCGTGCCACCATGCCACCTATTAGTCCCAGTCTCTTTTAAACATCGTGGTAAAAAGAATCATGGATTAGCCCAGCTATGGGGGTGCACAGATCATGCCTCCCCTGGGAAGACTGAAGACCACATGGGGGGCATGCATGGGTTTGGTTTTAGGGCCAACTTGAGCACCCAGTGCTGTTGCACACGCTGTAATCCCAGCTAATCAGGAGGACCATGACATAGCCAGACTCCATCAAAATTACCTCTCTCTGCTGCTCTCTGTCTCTCTCTCTCACAGACAAAGAGACAAAAATATTCATGGGGAATAATTGTATTAGTTTCAAAATCTTGCAATTTATAATGAGGTTTGAACAATTAAATGAATCCTATATATTTAACCCAATTACAATTATTTTAAAAAGGACTTAAGGTTGGTATTAATAGGGGTAGATGGTAGAATTCATAGAAATTTCTAGTGTATGTGGGTTTAAAGTAGCTTTGTTTTAGTATAGTAATATAATAAGTGATGGCTCCAGGATGGGCTGTTGAAAGTCAGATGCATCATAAATGTTTTTCTTTACCTTAAAATTCTCGATCAACATCACCACTGGAGATAATTTTTCACAGTGCCTTCTGATCCCCCAAAGTTCCAATATTCCAACCCATGTCATCAGATGACAAAGTATTATTACACTTGCTAGCATTATACTTCAATCTACAGATATGAAACGTAAAAGCTATGTTACGCAGCTTCATTTTCAATTTTCAATTCAATGACCATGTCTCACTGTTTGCCTTCATATATACACTTAAATGGGAGGTGGTCTTCACAGTCCGTCATTTGGATGCTATGACAGATTTTTGTCTCTTTCACACAGGCTTCCTAACTGGTTTCCTCTTTTCAGATCCACTCTCAATCTAATCCATATACCAATCAATTATATTGCTTCCTACAAAACTTAAAAAAAAATTTTTTTTAAGAAAAGATTTTTGCTACAGGGTGCACATACTTGCTGGAGAGAAAGAAAGCAAGAAATCACCCCTATCCCCAGAGGAGATAGCCATGCAGCAAACCCTTCTCGTCCATTCTCCTCTCAGAATTTTGGGCATGCATGTACACACACCCAGCATGAGTTTCAAGCTTCTGAGCCCAGGACTCAGACAGTGGTTGGCCATGTGGAAGTCCGGCAACGTAATCATTATGCCATCTGCTGACCCCCCTACAAAACTCCTTTAAAAATATTTGTAACCTTTCCATCCCAGCCAAAAATCTCCCATTAAACTAGAAACACACAAAAGTAGTTCTAATTCTTTGTATTTTTACTAGCTTTAGTTCAGAACCATGTACAAGAACTCACTATAAGCTCTGCATCACAAAAAGTTCTCACTCTTACTAGTCTCTGACCTTTCTAGTCATTTTTTTATTACAGATACAAATATATCCTGTGGACCTATGACCTGCAAAGACTTCTGGATCTCTGGAATTTGTTTTTTGTTATAAACACAATCTGGAGTTAGCTACCAGGCTAGGATCTCTTGATCAAGCCTGGGACAGGACTATCCACCTCCATAGCAGACTATCGTTGGGATTTTCTGTCCTAGGGTTGCACTAACAACTGCTAACACACCTTTTCTAAATTCTTGCTACTTTCTTTCTCATATATGTTTAATGCTGCTCATCACCTATAAGTTAGTTTAAATTATTTTATCATTTAAGGTATTTCCAGAGTCAGGTCTAACTTTTGTTTCTAATATCATCTCTCTTTTTTTCTTGAAAGGTTTTTGCTACTGGGCATGTGAGCTCGCCAGAAAGACAGAGAGAAACAGAGAGACAGAAAGTGAGAAATCACCCCCCGGGGGGATGTCCACACCACAATCCCTTCTCCTCCATTCTCCTCTCGGGATCTTGGGCATGCATGCACATGTGCCTAGTGTGAGTTTAAGCCACCGGGTCCGGGCGACATAGCCATTACGCCAACTGCTGGTCCCTCTAATGCCATCTTTAACTCCTTAACTTTGGAATACGAAAAATCCAAATACTAGTCCAACTGTCAACTGAAATATTTTAAGTAATTCTTATGTACTGCATTTTCTTAAACTGTTTTTCCTGTTCTGGAATGACTCTATTCTTCACCAAAATAAATCATATCTTCCTCTCAGAGTCCATTTTTGTAATCATGTCAACTCACAAAACTGTCTTCTTATTTGGATTTAGAAAAGCATTAAGTCAATCGACTGACTATTAATGTATCAGTGACAAAGTCACATTATATAATGATATTAAATTTTTCCTGCTTAAGTTACAGTTTTGAAAATGTAATGAAAATGGAAGCACTTCGAAGTCACGGAAATGTTGCAGTCATCTCTATACTGGATCTTTAGGACAGAGCTAGCATTACTGTACATGCATGGTACATTTTTCAGTGAACCAACCTGCTCCCATCGGCTTCTCCTAATAAATGTTTTGATTTCTTTCACTTGTAGGAACTTTAAGGTATTTATAACTATTGATAGATAGGACAAACTATTTCAGGTTTTCCTCTGAGTCATTTTCTTATTATTCCATATGCTTTCTCCTATTTCTCCACAATATACATTAGCTCATAGATTCCAGAATTCATGGCATTCCTTCTTCACATTGTGCCCTCTCACTTAAATAATCTTAAAATTGTTTTGTAATATTACATCACATACACTTCTTTATTGAAAATGAATGAGGCTTAAACTTTCAAAGCATTTACATCACAAGAATAATGAGTAGTTACAATGATGGAAAAAAAATAAAAATAAATTAGCAGTTTTAAAAAAATACATGCTGTATGCAAGATCCGAGACTTACACAACATCGTTCAACTCCAGTCGGGTGTCGGGAGATGGGTTAATCAGGATGTACGAGAGGGTACTTTGATGATCATTCATTTCATCTAGGAGGTAAATAAATGCCAAGGTTGTTATTCTACTTACAGGAAATTACAGGAATTATTTAGACCAGCTTGTGTTCAAACCATATAGCTGTCAATGAGAATGGGCCATAGTTTTACCCACAGCAGGATTGTGTACGTAGGTTTGACTTTTTCAAATTATTGTCATTGAAAATATTGGACAGGTACTCATTTTCTTGTTTCACTAGACGATAAAAAAAAGTATCTAATTCATTTTAGAACTGTTACAGTTATCATCTACTCTTTAAGTACTATGCTGAGAAAATATTTTTATGAAAGAAAAGGCTGGACAAGGTGTTTACTTGGTTTATTATGTCTTATCAATTACAAAAAGTAATTGTGGTTATGGATAGTCATCTTAGAAAGCTATATTCATATATCCAATTCTTCAAAAATTATCTAACCACACTGCATTTAGGAAACATGGTGGAGGGGCTAGGAAGTGGTGTGGTGGTTAAAGGTGCTGAACTCCCACATGGCCAACTGTGGTTCGAGTCCTGGACCTGGTGGCTTGCTATCTCACTCTCTCTTTCTCTGTATCTTTCTGGTGAGTGCATGTATCAAATTAAAATAATAATAATAATAATAATAATAATAAAAAAATAATAATAAATTATATTAAAAAAGAAACATGATAGAAATGTGTAAGGAAGGCTAATGTTGCTACATATGTCTGACTTAATTACATGATAAGTTTGCTATGACCCATCCTAATGTCTTCCCAGAAAGTAAAGAACTTTACAATCCATTATTTGGATGCTGTTACAGATTCCTGTGTCTCTCACACCTGCTTCCAAACTGGTTTTCTTCTTTCAGGACCACTCCCAACCCAATCCATGTACCAATTAATTATATTGATTCTTATTCCATAGAATAGAATTGAGCCATAAGTTTTAAGGGAAGCGTATTATTGAATCATTTGTTTTTCTTCTAAAACAATATTTCTGTAAAATAAATGGCTACCTGTACCCTACGGATATTATTAATTCACTCTGAAGACATTCTCAGGCTGCAAGGTTGGAAAAGTGACTTAGGAGTTATATAGGGAATCAAAAAAAGTAACAACTAAGGAGTCTAAACTGTTTACATTTAATGTTTATCAAAAGAGATAAAGCCTTGTGGACATGTACTTCAATAAACATGATTCCTCCCAAGGGTAAAGTTTGGAATCTATGAGGCTGTTCAGAAAAATTCTGCTGCAGAGCCATGCAGAGCCATGCAGAGCCATGCCTCTAGTGACTTCACTTAGAGTCGAGAGCGGCTCGATGGAAACACTGATTTTCACAGTTTGATCCAAATGCTAAGACTACATTTTATGCCAAAAGAAATATATCAATACTCAAATAATCACATTAAAATAAAATTAAGTTCTTTTAAGGCCACATAGCTGGCCCTTGTAAAACAGCTTGCTTTACCATAATATATATTATTTTCATAAAAGGTTGACCACTGTGTTCATCTGATTGGAAGCCCATCACTTGAATATGAAGCACTTACTATTTTCAGTGATGCTATTTTTAAGTTGTACCCTAGCTTTAAAGTCTATACACCAAAACTTTATCTTAGAAGACAGAATAACTGAACCCACCATAAGTTTGCCAGTAAAACTCTAATACTCTTAAACTCATCAAATTAATATTCAAGTTAACAAAATAGAATTGGCCACTTTTCTGTGGGGTAGATACAGAGAATTGTGTCATGGCTTAGTGTAAGGATTGCCAGCAAAAGAGAGAATGCCTAGTAAGCTCTGAATTTCAGATAAATAACTTACACTAGTTTTTAACAAAAACTGTCCCAAATATTACATGTGACATACTTATAGAACTGAATCATAAGTTTTAAGAGTAGTGTATTGTTGAATAACTTGTTTATCTTCTAAAGCAATACTTCTATGTAAAATAAGTGGCTGCCTGCACCCTATTAAATTTATTAATTCACTCTGAAGACATCCTCAGGCTACAAGGCTGGAAAGGTGGCTTGGAATTATATAGGGAATCAAAAAAGGTAACATCTAAGGAGTCTCAACCATTCACATTTAATATTTATCAAAAGATATCATTTTTACCAAAAGACACAAATCTTATTTGATGTTTATCTGAAATTCAGATTCCACTGGGAATCTTTTATGTGTATTTGGTGAATTTGGCAATCATACTTAGGATAGATGGGGAACTCAACTGATGAGAGCTTGAAATTTCAATGACTATATAATGATGTTTACTTCAAATTAGGTACAATTCCAACTCAAAACATGTACTAGCAAAAGATTAATAGGATTATTTCTTTATATAAACAGCAATTTTCATTCGTGCATGCACTTTGAAAGATTTTGCCCTGGTATGAATTTTCACAACTGTTATGCAAAGGAACAGAAATTGATAGTGCCCTGTGGAAACTGAATCAAAAGACTAAACTGTAGAGGGTCTATTAGAAAACCTCCATCTCATCTACCAGTGTCTAACTCTGTTTCTTATATAAACAATAGCATTATTGAACTGTGATACAGAAAACACAATTGAGCAGGTAACTTCTTAGTCAATATCAATACCCAACCTTTCTCTTTGATTATTAACAGGATGTTGTACTCATTTTTGGTTCTGGAATCAAGCCAAAAATCCATTGGTGACCTAGTTTGCCTTTTAAAAATGTAAAAATTGTCTAGATAACTGAGAAATTCCAACAGTAGATATAATTCTTGTGTCAATATTTTGTTCTGCTTAAGTAGTGTGTTGTACTTATCACACAGAAGACATTAACTTTTCTATAGACTATAGAAATTGAAGCAAATGTTCTACTTATGTGCTCAATTCAATGATTCCACGTGACTTAATTAAGACATGGCTAACACCATAGTAAGAGCCTCTCACCCCTTGTTTCTTTCCTTACTCCTGACTGACTTTTACTCAGGCAGAAGGAATGACCTATCTTTTGATTTAGGTTAAAAGAAGTCACTGAGTTCAAAGCCATACTCTCTTCTTCCATGTCTGCCTCAGCATAAAGTTTGGACCTCCTTGCTGTCCACCATGCTGCTCTAGGAAGGCCTGCAGTTCTCTCTCTCTCTCTCTCTCTTCCTCTGTGACTTTAAGAATTAGGAGATTATTGGGGACCTGCAGGTGGCATGGTGGTTAAGGTGCTGGACACTCCCACATGACCAACCACAGTTCAAGTGCTAGATCTGATGGCTTGCTTTCACACTTGCCCTATCTCTCTCTCCCTCTATGTCTCACTCTGATCAAATTTAAAAAATGGATAATAAGTGAATAAACAAAAATGAAATAAATAATTCTTTTGAAAAATAAAATAAAAAAAAAATAAAATCCTATTGTGGTCATACACAAAAGTCATTCTCAACAATAGTTTTCAACTCTAAGTCTGGTATTTTTTTACTATTGATCATTCTCTATGGTTGTTGTTATTTCTTAATTCTGGAGAGGCAAATATTGTAGGTTTGTTGTGTCTTTAAGACTCTATCATAATAATTACCACTGACTATGGCCAAAACATAAGTTAATTAAATAAGGTTGTAAACCAAAAATATAATGCCATATTTACTGAATAAAATAAATTCGAATACTAAATTTTTCTTCATGAATTATAGAATCAGGACTCCTTTTCCTAAGCAATAAAAATATTTCCTATAGGCCTGCTGTGAATATAGTCACTGTGTTCCTGATAACTAACCTCAGAACTCAGCAAAAGAAAAAGCACAATATAATTTTATTTTCATTAAATTTTTTTGCTTAATCTTTGGTATAATTATTTTAATGTATTTTTTAAAAACTGGTAATTTATCTTAACATTTTGTCTACCATTACAGCTACTTACTATTCTTGTGCAAAATCAAAAAGGTACTAGAATATTAAACTTTTTCTTTTTTCCATAGTTATTTATATTTAATCACTGTACATCTTTACAGTGTAAATGTTTTTCCTAGCATGAATACAGTGCATGTTTACCAAGTCAGAGACATTACTATATACATTATCATCAACATATAACTTTTCATTTTTGTATTTCTTAAATGTTTTGTTTGTTTTTCCCTGATCCCCTAAACTTTAAAATAAATGATATAAAATAAAATTTAAAGATTGCTAGTAGTATTTACAAAGAAACTGGGATATACCATTATTCAATCAAAATATTCAGGTAGCAAATATTCTGCTTAGAATTGTTTGAGTAGATGGATCATATTAGAAAAGAAAAGGAATAACTGAGTCCTATTCCACAAAATAATTGAAACCTATCCCAAACCAGTGAATTTAACCTGTTTTGTTTTTCATTTTCATGTTGAAGTTTTCATTTTATTTATTTTTTTTGCTATAAGGTGTGCATGCTCATCAGCGACAGAGAGAGAGAGAGAAAGAGAGAGAAAGTGAGAAAGCATCCCCCCAGCCCCCTAGGAGACATGGTCACATCACAGACTGACTTTTACTCAGGCAGAAGGAATGACCTATCTTTTGATTTAGGTTAAAAGAAGTCACTGAGTTCAAAGCCATACTCTCTTCTTCCATGTCTGCCTCAGCATAAAGTTTGGACCTCCTTGCTGTCCACCATGCTGCTCTAGGAAGGCCTGCAGTTCTCTCTCTCTCTCTCTCTCTCTTCCTCTGTGACTTTAAGAATTAGGAGATTATTGGGGACCTGCAGGTGGCATGGTGGTTAAGGTGCTGGACACTCCCACATGACCAACCACAGTTCAAGTGCTAGATCTGATGGCTTGCTTTCACACTTGCCCTATCTCTCTCTCCCTCTATGTCTCACTCTGATTAAATTTAAAAAATGGATAATAAGTGAATAAACAAAAATGAAATAAATAATTCTTTTGAAAAATAAAATAAAAAAAAAATAAAATCCTATTGTGGTCATACACAAAAGTCATTCTCAACAATAGTTTTCAACTCTAAGTCTGGTATTTTTTTACTATTGATCATTCTCTATGGTTGTTGTTATTTCTTAATTCTGGAGAGGCAAATATTGTAGGTTTG